ATGCCGACATTTCAGCATGCTGTATATTTAGTGAGCACTCTGGGTTTTGTTTTCTTCTGAAAACTTGGGACTTTCTGAAACTGAAACTTGGTGTTGAAACTGACTGAGCTTCTTAGATGTTGTGTCAAAGAGAGAAGTAGCTGATGGAGAATCTCAAAACCTCATGTCTCCAAGGCGTGAACTGTGTTTTCAGATCATCAGCAAGGTGGGAATCAGCTCAAACGCTGGAATACGAAGTGCAAAAACGCAAAATAGTAGCAAGTATTTATTGTCTTGTTTCTTGTGCAAATATCTTAGTGCACTTAAAATAAAACAAAACTAACTTAAAAATGACTTTTTAAGCAAGATATAGGAGTTTATTGATTGATGAGAAAAATACTGCAAGCTGCCCAGGCAGATTATTTCAATGAGAACATGACATTTTCTAGCAGTGAAACGAGAAGCTTTGACTAAAAACAAGCTTCTATATCTTGTTGAAAAATTACTTGTAAATTAGTTTTGTCTATTTTCAGATATTTACACTAGAAATAGAAAAAAATACTTCAGATTTTGTGTTTTTTTGCAGAGCAAAAGAGCCAATAACCAAGTGTCAATCAACATCTTTTGTGCATTTGAAGAGTTTATTAAATTTTAAATTTAAATGGTGACACAAAACAGTATTTATTGTATGATTGAATCATGTAGGATTGTTTTTTGGTTTAAAATAAATGGAGGATTTAGGTGATGTGTTGCTTTTTAATGGGATATATTTTAGAGCTTTAGTATCAAAGAGAAAAAGAGCTCAGATAAATAAAGCGCTTATGTCAACTGCCTGGACCAGAACATTGTGAGCAGCATTGTCATAGCGGACAATTCACAAGTCTTAATATACATCCACCAGCAATCCGGCGCTCACTTCAAAAGATTTCCAATGTCTGCATAAAAATGCCAATCAGTTTACTGACCAATGGATCTACTTTCCCTTAAAGCTTTTTCTTTTCTGCGTTTAGTGAACAACTTCTGCTAAAAACTTTCAACAGTTTCATAATTTTTTGTGGAAAAAGACAGTTTTTTCCACATAAAATGAAAAACAAATAATAGAAAAACAGTTTTTCAGGTGTATGGAAAGCAAATTCTTACCAAAAAGAGGAAGAGCAGCTCCCTCAGCGATGAGGATGAAGGTCTGTAAGAATCCGCCGGCTCCGCTCAGAGAATAAGTCCTGCTGCTATAGTGATACTTGAGATCATCAGGCCCTTATTGGCTGCTGGATGAGAGCGGAGTGTGTGTGTGTGTGTGTGTGTGTGTGTGTGTGTGTGTGTGTGTGTGTGTGTGTGTGTGTGTGTGTGTGTGTGTGTGTGTGGATGGAGCTGGAGAGGCTGGGGGAAGTGCATCCATGACCCTGGAGAAGGAGATGGGTGGAATACTATGGATGGAAGAGGAGGGCTCAGGTTTTGGAAAGGAGCAGCTGAGAAGCTTCTGTTGCTAAATTTACAGTGATTGAAGGCCGAGAGCGGGACTTACACATCGGCTTGGCATGCAGACAATGGAAGGAAAGTCTGTGTGGCTGTTGACCATTTCATCAGCGAGGAGCTCCATCCGTCACGGCGGGAACAGAGGCACAACGCTGGAGCAAGAATAGAACAAAGGAACAACAAAAAAAAATCGCAAACTCCGTTTCTCCTGCAGATAAATGTCTCAGATCATCAGATCATCAGACAAAGAAAACATGAGAGAACACAACTCATCATTACCAGAAATCTCAGAGATGCTTTCAAGTGCAAATATATCAGTACAAATAGCAAAAATCTAAATTAACTTACATGAATGTATGGAGGAGGATTTGATTGGATCATTTCCTCCAAAGAAAAGGTTCACAAACCATTTTCAGTTTCTCCTCACATCAGAAATTACGGATGAAACCACTGCAAAAACACTAAATCTAAAAGATTTTATCATGGATTCTCATGCAAATATCTTAGTATGCTTGAAATAAGACAAAACTAAGTTTTAAGTAACTTTTTAGGAAGATTTAGGAGCTTTAATTAATATTCATGAAAAGTATCAGCTTCACTGGCAGATTATTTCTCTTGTAGTAAAATAATTTTTTTTTTTTACCTTTTTCATCAATATTAAGGAATTATTGAATTGAAACAAGCTCCTATATCTTACTCAAAGTAACATATAAGTTAATTTTGTCTTATTTATGTGCTCTAAGATATTTGCACTAGAATACTTTTTTGTTTTTGCAGTGCAGAAGCTCTCTGACAAGATGAGAGACTGAAACTAAACATTTAAACTCTGTTTGGTCAGATGAAAACAAATTGTTGATTCTTTGTTCAAATCGCTGCCTGTACTAAAGCAAAATCCCAAAGAAAGAGCTTCAGACGCTCACTGCTTACTGCGTTAAACAACGGATAACATGAAACAGCATCAGATCGGCGATCAGAGAGGAGAGCGGTTTAAACTTCACACACATCGGTGTTTTTACCTCCATCCCTGCTGTGTGTGTGGATGTGTGTGTCATCAGGTAGATCAGTGGCTCCCAAAGATTTTCTGGGGCTATGGATTACAATAAAATACCCCCAAAAGAAAAAAGAACCAACTGTGCTCACATTGTTCAACCAGACATAAACCTTTACACGTATTTTGTTTTCAAACTCCACTGAAGATTATTTCACACTTCAGGTTGCAACAAACTACAAACCATCTTTACAGTGAAACACTTTAACTGTGTGACTGTTTTGTTTTCTTCATTCATTCATACTGCTTCCCGCGCCCCTCCTGCAATGGCACTGCGCCACCCTTGGGGGGCGCGCCCCACACTTTGGGAACCACTGAGGTAGATAGTTGATGCTGCAGTGGCTTTGACGGTGACGGTTGAAGCAAACGCCGCTGCCTGTCAGAGGAGAAGAGATGAGAGATAAGCAGCTGGTTTTTAAAGGGGCAGTGTCGTGTTAAATAAACTTTTTTCAGCTTTTTTCAGTGATTGGAAAATACTTCCATGTGAAGCCCATCTTACTCCCAGATCTTATCCACCTCAGTGAAGGTCTGAAATCAGCCTCTGTCCTCTGATCTGGAGTCGGACAGGTTTCACTGACAGACCAGGCCCTTCTGCATGTCTACAGAAAACAACAGTTACTTGATGTCAGCAACTTTCTTGCTATATTGAGCAAAATTTCAGACAAAAATTGGTATTGGCTAAAATCAGAATCGGCAGGTCAGATCAATAATTAGCGATTGATTGAGGAACCTTTTAATCTTCATCTGTGTTTCCATTGACCATATAATTATGCAATTTGACAATTTGAAAATAAATTTGGTTAATAGCCAATTAAAAAAAAAACCTCAAGTGTTTTTGATGAAAAGTTTTTGCACCAGAATTATTATTATTTTTTTGGTTGTAACAAAATTGGTTTATTTTGAAGTGGAAACACTTTTACCGCATCACACTAGTCACATGACCAACAACTGGATGTTGCCACTGGCAGAAACCACAATGTAGACGACGACAGGAAGTGGTTGGAGGATGATGGCGCGGCTTGTTTGTTAATTTAAAATGACATGTCATTTTAAATTAATTTCTTACTTAATGGAAACACCACAATTGCAAATTTGTGTTTTCTCGGCATGCAAAGTTTTGCTCACAATCATAATGGAAACGCAGATAATGGCATCATACATTCAGTTCTGCAACCTGATAAAATCAAACATTTTGAATAATGACTTTCAGCTGCTTCCTTTCACTGTTGCTATAATTTACAAGGTCAATGCAAAACTGTCCTAGAGATCCTGATGTTTGGGGAGATTTAAAGGAAACAAATGGAGTAATAACATCAACTTCATGGTAAGATCTCTCATTTAAACTGGATATATTGTCACACCTTCATCTCTGTCAGCAATTTTAAACAGCTTTGTCATTGATTTAATTATTTTTCATAAAGATTTCAACTTCTGTCACAGAAATAAATGTTACTTTAGTGTTGTGTGAATTTGAAAACCCTTTAAATGTAAAGCAAGTAGAGCTGATAGCACATAGATGTCAGAAAAATGTTTTCTATCAAACACATATGTAAATATTGTTTCTTTTTAAAAAATCTGGATCTATTTATAATAAGTGGTGGATTTTAAAGCACTAATGGTTATGACTACAAGGCTAAGATGTCTACTGATGTCTTTGAGGAAGAAGGTTTGGGGTTTGAATCCCAGGCTGGATGGACAGATGAAATCACAGAGCCCCCTGGTGGCTGTATGAATCATGACAGATTGGATTTATCAACAGGTCGGAAGGAAAAGAAGCAAAAAAAAACAAATATTTAGATTTTAGATTTCTCTTGTGACCACTAATAAGTCATATTTTGGATTCTGAAAGCAGTGGAGAATAACTTAGTAATGTCATTGTTTTTTTTCCCTCCAATAAAAGTTTGTAATTTAGATGATCAAATGCAATTTATTTATAAAAAATAATTAAATGCTTTGGTTTTATCTTGCTAATCAACAAAATCATTCTACAGGTAAATACTTTTACAACAAAAAAACATTCAGCAGTATTCAAAAAGGTAATTATTTTACTTATAACATGAAACAAATAAAACTAGCATTTTTAAAAATATTTGTTCACTTTTCTTGATGAATTTTGTCAAATTTCAAGTGTAATACGATATTTGCACAAAAAAGCTAGTCCATAAATACTTGGAAACATTTTGAGTTTTATGAGTGTAAATCCTTTTCAAGTGAATAATTGTGAGCAGAAATCAGGGAGATAAAATAAATTTTTTATAGTGTAAAGTAGTAATTCAGATAAAGTCTGTTTGTAAAATCCTAATTTAAGTTGTGGTTGCAGCAACAGAGGCAGTTTGTTGATAAGAGCTTCTTCTCCTCTGCCACCTTCCTCCAGGTGCAGGTGGCCGTCGCCCGCCGGTAGGGGCTGCACCTGCGCCGTCTCAGGTGGCCCGGAAACCCCCATCTGCCCCTGCAACACACACTGAAGGCAGCAGCTTTATTTTTGGAGCGTCTGCAGGCACCGCTGCTCGCTCCCCGAGGCTCCAGTTGACTTCAGGATGAGGCGGCCCTGCTGCTCTCTGAGCCCGGATTAACAAGCAGAGAACAGTTTTTTTATTCACCTGTCAGCTGAAGGTAATCCAATCAAAATAAGAGTCTGCTGCTGGTTCTGGTGAAAGGTCCTGACATAAAGAACAGCTTGTGCACGATTGGTAATTTCAAATGCTTGGTGCATATCAGACATTAAGATGTATCCTCAGGAGGATGGGCTTGCAAACAGGCGCCTAACATGCTGCATGCCTTGCATACACTTGTGCTAAGATGGATGAATATGAGCATGAATCACATGTTAGCTAAAAAATCTGCATTTTTAAAACTTTTCTTGTCAGTTTAGTGAGAAATGAGCTCTAACGTCACATTATTGTTTCCCTCACAGCCAATAAAAGAAACAAAAAACACAAGAAGCACAAGCATCCAAGTCAGGTAAGGCTTTAGATTAATAATGCAAATACAAAACCATTCATTTCATCTAACTAACTGCTTTTTAAGTAGATGGATTGAGGTCATGGCCCACTTTTAACACAAAGCTAATCTTACACTTTCCTCTTTTGCTGCCGGAGTGAAAACGTCCCTGATGTCCCGTCCCAGAGCCTTAAATAGGGGGCGTCTCATGTTGCAGCTGCGCTTTTTGTCTCTGCGATGACAGGAGTCACTTTGACAGCAGGGATTTGCGATAAACATTTACTCAAAAAGCATTTCAGATTTCAAATAATTCAAATCAAGAAAAGTTTTCAAGCGTTACCAAGCCTGAGCTTGGTAACTCGGTTCAGGGTGAACTTGACTGCTTCCTAGGAGAAAGCAGAGAGATTATGTCTTAAGTAGAAATTTAACAGACATTCTCACACGGCTACACGGGGCTCAGCGCGCAGTCAGAGCCTCTCGGAGAGGATTTGAGCCTCAGATTGATTACAGGAGAACTGAAGCGGTTCCACTAAGTACAGGACAGGAGGCAGCAGGTGCTGCTCTTATTTCCATCGCACTAAAATTAGAACGTGGATTTCTCCTAGAGCCACTCACAAACTCTCCACCACCTTCACTACACAACTTATTCCCATCGCTTTCACAGATTTCCCCCCTTTTGTTGGAAAATATCAGTTGGACTTTGGAAAAGCTGTTAGATTTCAAATTAGTGATGATGAATCAAACAAAAGCTTGTTCCACTGATTAAACTGTGATCACGCTGATCTGGAAATTAGAGGTTATTTTTCTGAATTTTGTAAGAATATTTCTGCAGCTCACCCAGAATGTATACACTGTGCGCACAATGTTTTGAGAGCCAATAATGCAATTATGGCACAAACGAATGTAGCTCAGAGTGGGTTAATACAAATTAGCTCAACATATTAGCAATTAGCATATAAACAACAATAATCAATCCATAAATAGTATTGCATAACGAAGCTACATAAACCATAATCAAACTTTTACATAAATGTCTGACTTTTTCTTCACCGTTTACAATATTCACGCTTCTTATGACGCACATTGACGAAGATCATCGCTCCTCTACAGATAAAACCAAAACTATTCGCTCTCAAGCGACGCTTGCTTCTGATTGGCCAGAACAGCTGTCCAAATCATAAGCCCATACCAATCAAGTTTATTTGCATAACATATTTCAGAAACAAGGCAGGCAAAGGCTTTACATTATGAAAACATAAAAAAAATTATAAACACATCATACAGTCAAAAACCAATATTATTAAAATCATCAATATACATCAAATATGTTGGTCAATGTTCAGCTTATTAAGGTTCAAAAGCAGCTCTAAACAGGTGAATCTTTAGCCTTTGTTGAAAGGGACTCAATATTTCAGCTGTTTTCCAGTTTCCTGGAAATTTGTTCCAGATTTGTGGTGCATGAAGCTGAAAGTTGACCTTTAATGTATTTTGTAATACACTAGTAGCCCACGCCCAGGTTGTTGGCGTCCGGCTCAGAGTAGAGCTCTGTGCCAGTTACCGATCCACCCATGGGACCATCCATCTGCTCCGTTAAGAGGCACTCTCATTTCATCAGACTATGAAACCTTTGAAAAATCTGTGTTCAGATATTTCCTGGCCCAGTGAGATGCTTCAATTTATGTGTCAGGTTTCAGCCTCCCTTACCTTGGCCATCATGAACATCATCATCTTCTAGATAATACATCTTGTAGTTGTGAAGTATGAAAGAACTCAAAGAACTTGAAGATAATGAGTTCATAGTACCTTAACGCTTGATTCTTCTCAAATCCTTGGCAGTTAATTTGGGTCTTTATTTTTCTCAACATGTTTCTTGTCTATCTGCAACAAAACATTTGATAATTCTTTGATCATGCTCCAATATCTGGGCAATTCAAGAATGATGCAGCCCTTTTTGGACAAGTAAACCTTTTTTTGTCCCCTTTTTTGCCAAAAGGGGATAAACTACCCAATAATTCTGCACTTCGGCCGCCTCCTCGCTCATTATACACACTAATCACCTCCTATGCCTAAAAATATGGCCATAATACTCACTTGCCAAATATTTGAGCCCAAAGTGCAAGTTATTTAACTTTTGGGCTATTTCAAGTTAATTTGAAGACTTAATGTGGAATTTACAGATTATGTTGGTGCGACTAACTCATCCCAGGAAATCACACACTTTCCAGGAACTATTACAGTTTATACTCTGGAACTTTGAGGTTCATTTCCATAATTTGCCAGCAAAATGACTGCTGGTAATGTAGGCAGCAGTAGTAATGTCATTACATAAACATATGTTACTATTAGGTTTAAACCCCTTATATCTGTTACTATTAGGGGTTTAGATGCGTGCAAAATTTCCACATTAGTGTTGACTTTCTGGTGCTTACCAAGAATTCATGTTACTTTATAAATCTTACAGTTCATACTTTCATGAATCTTTCAGATTTTTTTGGAACTCAGGACATTTTTTTAGCATCTATAGTTCAGGGTTAGGATTAGGGTCGCTATGGATTTCGGAGTCTGTTCATTGTTCAGACTTCTTTATGTCCTCAAACTGACCAGTGAATTAATTTAAAGCCTCTGTTACTTGGAGACGCCATTCTTGCTGAATAAACTCAGTTACCCTCCTGTAGTTTTCAACCATCTTACTTGAGGTTTACTTCTATTTATTGCAGAGGTAATTTTTAAACCATGACCATCTTCATAAGAAGACTGTCCGAGTAAATAGCCTGTCATCATTTCAAAGCTTACCTACTTAAAGAAACATCTTTAAATGTCATTCTATTTCTAATTCACATGCATCTTGTAACTGTGCATCATTTTCAAGACCCAATTAAGATCTTTTGAGCCTGGAAATGAATCTGGTGTTATAAGATCTCAGTTCTCAGTGGCCAACTTGACTCCAAGCCATGACAGGGGTTATACGAGCAAAACCAGTAAGCAGCTGAATACTATACTGGGAGCACTGTAGAAGAGAACGATTATACCTCGTGATAAATAACAAACAAATGTTTGACGAAGGAGTGATAAAGAAAATAAGGAACGCTAAAAATTTATTTGATTGTATTCAAAGACTTCAGTCCCAAAGCAAAAGAAGGATTTTGGTATTTTTCCAGATTATAGCCCAACAAAAAGAGAATGGTGAAGCGATAGTGGCTTGTCGTCCATTATTCCAAAGAGGAGTTTCACAAATCTTCAAAGAGATGTTCAGCTATGAAAGAAGGGAAAAAAAGACATTAATGTAATTGATACTAATCTACTAAACAATTTTAATTTACATTAAACAAACAAATGTACGGAGAGGATCAGAGCCACTGGATAAAAATTATTCTGATATGAGAAATTTTGACTTTTGATATGAAATGAAACTCCAAATTCTGAGAAAAAAAGAAAATTCAGATTTCTTTTTAAAAAGTCAGAATTTGGATATTAACGTTCGAACTCTCAGAAAAAATGTCAGAATTCTGACTTCAATTTCAGAATTCTGAGTTTTCAGAATTCAGAGGAAAACAGTTCTAACTAATTCTGAGATCAAAGTTGGAATTCTGAGAAAATGGTCAGAATTCTGAGATCAAAATGAGAATTCTGACTTTTGTTTCAGAATTCTGACCTTCAGAAAACCAAAGGAGATCAAAGTCTAAATTCTGAGAAAAAAGTGAAAAATCTTTTTTCCCCTCGTGATCCTAATCCTCTTCTTTATAGATGAGTATGTAAGTGGATTATTTAGTGGTATAACTATTTCTCGTTACTGTTGTTATGTTCCATTTCTCTGGTAGGAACGTGCAATGCTGATGGAAGTGTGTTACACTAATGGACTGGAGACAGACCTTTCGCAGCAGTATCCTCCCCCCTACTGCCAAAACCAGGCAAAGACAATGCAAGGCTTCAGAAACTCAAGAAGAAGAGAGCCAAGAAAAAAGGCAGCCTCTCTCAGACGCCCATCCCCTTCCGCTCCTGTTTATCGCCTGTCAATGAAGCCAGCACAGACCTAGAGCACAGTGACCAGTGCAGCCCACCAAGGACACCAGAGTCACTCTATGTTGCTGACTCCTCTGTCTCCAGTTATCCCGTTGGTTCGTTCTACAATCACTCTGTCCCTGCATTCCCTCACCCTCAGGGCAGTCTCAATGGACAAACCAATAGCTTTCACCCGCCATCCCACCCAGCCGGGTTCAGGACCTCTGAGCTGCAAGTGGCTCCGCTGTACGAATGCTCCTCTTTCCTATTTGATGATACTTCTCCCTTCATAGTTCCACCTTTGACATCTTCTGCAGCATGGCAGCAGGTTTCTGCACCACGTCTTCCCCCAGCTTTCAACATAACTTCAAATTCCCATGGGTCAGTCACAACAACCTCTCCAGTTGCTATTTCGCAGTGCAGCCCAAAAATATCAACCCACAGCCTGACCCTGTCCACTGGTGCCGCCAACTCCGGCATTGACCTAACACCTTCTCACATTGCAGGTCTCTCCTGCTCCGGTGCCCCTATCAGTTTCAAACACTCACACACAGCCATTCATTCCCAGCCAGAGGGAGACAAACTAATATAAAGAATGACTTTCAGAGACAGACATTAACTAGAGCTAACGTAGCCTGCATTGGCAACAGTGCTCTTCGGCAGATGTCTTCTGAGATAACAGCTTCTAAAATATCTCTTGTCGACGCAGTGAAAGAGCCAAAGACTGAAGCCATGCCAGCTAAAATCTATACATCAAAGGCCACATTTTATGAGATATCCAAACCTCACTCTGTCCAGGATCTCACAGTGATGAACCTAGCCCACCAAGGAGCCTCTTTATCTGGAGGATTCAGTCAGAAAGCCTCTGTGCCATCAGTAAAATGCTGATCAGGAACTGTCTTCACCTTGGATACAGAGTGTGAGACCTTTGCCTTTGGCTTACACACCAGCTCAAATATCAACTCCTATTTTTGAAACGTCAAAACCCAACCCACTTACATCGACTATGAACCCTACTTTCAACCCCTTCCAGGATTTACAAGCATCAGTTATTAAGAAAGAGGCACTAAGAGACAATCCAGCAATTCCAGGTTGGTCTTTGGGTAAACCTTCAGCTGTGACTGAAGCACAAAACCAAACTGATGACAATAATCAAACTTTCATCAAACAACAAAACATGTATAGGGAAATAGACATTCCCAGTACACGGAAGAGTACAATGAATCTAAGTATGGTCACTTGTGAGTCACACCCCAGAGAGAATATGAGTATGCATGAATTTCCTGTGGTTAGACCTACAATAACACAGTTTATCAACCCCAACACAGACCAGGTTGAGGAAAGCAAAGTTTCATTGCTGCCAAAGGTTCCATCATTTCTTTCTGTACCAACAAATCTCAGCTCTACACCTTTGATTTCAGTGCAAGGGTCACAAAGTCCAAGCCCAGTGTTCTCCAACTATCGTCCTCCTGTAGTGGAGGCACGCAAGTCTTTGACCTCACTTTTGGAGACACAAATGTCATTAGCAAGCTCGAAGCCCAAATCCCGTTCTACATATTACGGACTAACTCCAGTTGAATATGCTGCCTATGGTGGAATAAGGACAGGTCTTTCGCATGGCAGTGCTGCGCATCCTGCCACTGATGAAAACCCTGACATCACCCCTACAGACAAAACTCTAGAGGACTCAGGTGTCTCAAAGCAGGAAAAACATTTCAATGGACTTGAGGACGTAACCTCCGTGGGACACAAAGAACTGTCATCCCACTCAGAAGTTCCAGAGGAAGGGATTTTCACACACTGCAATGACAATATCACAGAGGAAAGTTGGACTGGAACTCAGGATGTTGGGATAGAGTCAGTAAAAACATCTGCAGCGGAAACAATAGAACCCAACGTTCCCTTTGGATTGGCACAGAAAACAATACTGCAATCCACAAGTGATGCATCCACAACTAAAGCCTCATACTCAGAGGCTTCAATGTACCTAAACCAGGTGAGGTACACACAAAAGGTCTGGTGCAGTTTTTGGCAGAGGCAGGGCAAAAAACAAGCATTGATCCAAACATTTACTCCTCACCTTTGGTCAAAGATTTAAATGCAGAATCACAATCTAAACCAAAAGGAGTAAATGTTCCCCTCACACCATCAAATCTTGATCAAACTAATTTTCTGCCTGATGAAATTTGCAATGCAGTGTCCAATGTTACAAATATAAATGAACAATTAGGAAAAATGGAAATAAATCCTACTAAAATCAATCCATCATTACTCAATAATATAAATGTTCAACCAGCTGCCATGTTTATAACAAATCCAGCAGACTGGGAAACTAAAGTTTTTCCAAACCCTATGGCCCAGGTACAGAGTAAATTCCCAGAAAGTCAAGTTATAAATAGCAGAGCTATTTCAGGTACAGAGTCTGCTGAACTGGTTTCAGAAATCCAGCTGTCTAGTAAAACAAATGAAGGTATTCAAGACAGAAACGATGCTGAGTTCAAATACCAAATTAAAGCAAGCAAAAGCATTACTCTACCAAATAAAACAAATATAGGGTACACATTGTCATCTACAGAGCACACACATGAAAAAATACCCAAAGAGCCTCTTATCCCTACCAGAGGACTGATTCTTCCTCATGAGCCTGTGACAGCATCTGTTTGCTCTGGGCAGTACGATATCTGCACAATATCCTCACCAAAAACAAGCACAAGAACATTGCATCCACACAGTACAGAAACTCAAGTTTGTACAAATCACCAAGCTCTTAAAAACAACTTCAATTCGTTCCCATCTAATTTTTGAATGCAAATATTTTACCAAGTAAACCTACCACAGAAACAAAACAGATATCACACTTGGAGCTACAACCAGCACAAACCATCCACACATGCCAATGAAAGAGCTAGAAAAGCTAACAATGATACCTGTGAACGTGCTTGTAAAAACACAAAATAACATGGGGTGGCATTTCCCAAGTCAAGCCATGCAAGCAGAAACTCTCCATGCAACTTCATTTACATCTACAGAAATGTATACACAAACAACAAAGAATAGTCTAAACACTCAAGTGAGTCCACATTTTTCTTCAGCAAACACCAAAGCAGAAAGCTTTGCACCAAAGGAGATAGGGAACATGAGTATGCCAATAAATGAATGTAAGTTATCCAATAAATTACCTGGAAACACAAGTTTATCTGCACAAAATGGAGCTACTCAACACTTGACAGCCCAATCAAATGTTGGGTTCTGCAGCAATGTTGACAATATTCTTACAACTGAAAACACAATTCCAAACATACTTCACATGGAAGCATCTTTAACAACATTGGCAGAGTCAGCAGTGATTGTTAAACCAATGCTTAATGTTCAGCAACCTAGTAAAACTATGGTTCCCTCCAGCCCCACAATGAGGCAAATCCCACCAAAAAGTCCTCAGATAAAATCAGACAGATTAGATAATCATTTTGCGTCAAAATCTTCAATGAATAAGAAATCAGTCATTGGGCCTCTTGATGGTAAAGTGTCTCAAAATCTTCAGTACATAAACAGATCAGTAGACGTACCTATGCACCAAATGATTAAAACTACAGTAAAGGAAAATTATGCTGTTATTGAGCCAGATATGGATCCTGAATGCTTAGCAAGTCCATCGTCAAAAACTAAAAATTCTTCGACACTCACAATGAAAGCGCAGATGCCCAATGCATCAGGTCAAATTGAGAGTAACATATTTTGTTTAAGTGAAAATATTCAATTTGAAAAGCCCAATCAAATACCTTTACCAGTAAATACATCTCAACAGTTTAGTAATCCTAATCAACTCCCAACAATATCCCAAACCAACGCCCCAAATGAGAATCCTCAATCCTTTCCAAGTGCTGTCGTAAATGAACACTCTACTAAAATCATCCAACCTATCAAAGAAGCTAACAAAGATTTCAAAGCCCCATATAGTCCTCCAATTACAAATAAACCATGGGCAGCAATAAGAGCGTCTCCATTACTTGAGCCAAGGGTGAGTTACACGCCTATACAAACGTACACTCCTACTTTACCCCAGTCCTATCAAAATCCTGTTACTTTGGACAGTTTGGCAAACACAAACCCTTCCTCAACCACTATAAACCAACTGAAACACTCTCCCAGTACGCCTTTCAAAATATTACACCAAACAGTGTGGTTCAGCAGCATGAGAAGTCAGTCAAAGAAAGTATCTTAAAACCAGAAACTAAAAAGTCTCCACCAAATGACTCTTCGGTCAATGAGATAAAACTAATTTCCCCACCGGAAAACATGAAAACCATCCAATTTTCAAACCGAGAAGAAACTCTTTCCTCTCTAATGACTAAAACTAGTATGGCCAGTGACTCAGCTTTGAACAGGGCATCAATTTTAAAAGCAGATCCGTCGATTGAGCTAGTAGAATCGAGACCTTCCTCTGCCGTGGCAGAAATGAAACCCTCATTAGTAAAGCCAGAGCCTTCAAAGCCTCTCGTCAATTCAATCCAGACTAGTTCGCACTTGAATAATGAGAAACCAGTAGAGAATGCTTCCCTTGAACAGCCAGCAGCAGACAGTGTGATGAAACCATCCATAGTAAAAGATGCTGTGATTGATTCTGCCACTCCTGCCTCTCTGCCTCAGGCCTCAGTCTCAGTAAAAGCTCCATCTCCAAAACAGAGGAACATCACCGTCATCTCAGCTAAAAACTGGACTCAAAGGCAAGGACATTCTGAAGGCTATAAGTACAGCCAAGGAAACGCCAGCAGTCGAACCCTTCATGAAGTCAACGATCAACTGCATCTTCAGCTACTGAGAAAAAGTCGGAAGCAGAGGGAACATCAAGTTCATCCACTGAGCAAAAGCCAACCCAGAAGCTAAAAGGCCTTAAGGGGAAGCTCAGTGGGTGGACAAGGCTAAAAAAGCACATGGTTGTCGAGCCAGAGGAACCCAAATTTCCTGATCCCATGGACAAACCTCTGGTCACTCCTATTGGCAGCGACGGAATAACCGATAACATGATGGACATGCCGCCTGCTGACCTGGATATGAACCAGGAAGTTATTCAGGACAAAGAAGGACCCAAAGCACTAAAGATGTGGGATGCACTCCTCTTCCAAATGTTTTCTACCAAAGAAAAAATCATGCACCAAATCAATTCCAACAAGAAAGATTCAGAAACAAAAAAGGCCTCCAAAGACGACCAGGCAGCGATGCCATCGTTTGTCAACCGGCTGCCAATTTTACTGTACAGCCCTCGGTTTAATGCCAGGAAGCTGAAGGAAGCAGCAGAAAAGCCACTGAATAAAATAGCAGCAGCTTTTGAAATAGGGCTGATAAAACGCAAATCTCAGGAAGAAGAACGTAAGGATTTCAACAGAACGGCGAAAGGATTCGGTCCGACTAAAAACATTGATGTAACTGATGAGGCTAATGGATGATGTGATCCATCATTTGGGTGATTTATCCCAAAATAACAATTCAGAATAGGTAAGCCATCTGAAGGAATATTTCAGAAATGTGAGCTAAAATAGTTGGATATCTGATTGTACTAAATCAAAACTGTTGTATGTAGTAAGTGCATTTATACACTTTTCAAATACTTGTTTCAAATCTGGTAATTTTTAAAGTTTATTTTGAAGAATGCCAACAAGACAGAAAAAAAATGTTACATTTACTGCAAGAGGTTCAATTACATACACAACACTGTTGCACTTTTATGACAAATTCAATAAGGATGAAATTTGGGTGAGAATAAAACATAAGACAAAACATTTATTCTGTAGTTTTTATAGGTAGATTCTGTTTTCTGTTAATGGTGCCATAGATATTATTTGGGATGCATGAATTGTAGACAAATTGTCATGCTCCATTTTTCTATTTTTCTAAAGTAATTAAGTTTTAAGTGTGTTGTAGACAGGCAGGTTTTATTTGACGTGATAAAAAGGGCTTTTACATTCCTGGATTAACAGGACAGAACGTTTGCTAACAAAGAAAACGAATAAAGTTGAAATGAGTTACAGTAACTGTAGGTTTCTGAAAGGAAAAAAGGAGGAAATGGGCCAGAACAGGTACCAGGTACTCGGTTCGTATTAGCCTTGCAAGATGTCATAGAACTCGAAACGTTCTAAACTTTAAAAACTGGCATTTTATATATATATATATATATATATATATATATATATATATATATATATATATATATATATCACCACCAGCTGCCACTGGTTGATAGTAACCCGGATGTCGTTAGGATGAAGAAGATGGTAGAGAAGAGTGTGACTGTAGGAAAACTCAAGAAGATGGAAAAAGATTTTTCAGAAGACGTATGGATGAAAGCAGTTTTTTTAATTTAACCATATAAATCCCATTGTCTCTAAAACCTTCTTTAATAAAAACTGTAGAAATGATGATCATTTCTTGGTGATGGTAAAGAAAACGTAAAATGAGCAAAGCCCTGTTTATCACATCACTGTTTAATGCTATCTTGTAAACTGTCTGATTTTTTTTTAGAATATATAAAGAGCAAATCTATTTGTCTGTTTGTCTTCTTTTATTATATTGCCCATAATAAAAGTTATATGGTCCTTTATTTGAACATGTTTAGCTGTTTCATTTATTTATATTTGTAGATATATATAAATGTATTTCTGCTTGCAAAGTGCCAAAATAACAAGATTTTTCTCCTTTTTTTGACACACCCATTTTGTCACAACCGCACTTACTAAAATATAATGTAAGAAAAATATAGGAAGCTACTTTCATACAAAAATAAAACAAGAAGCAACACAAAAAGATACATATACAGATAAAATTGTGAACACTAAATTAGATTAAATCAAATTATAATTTTTTATCCACCATTTAAAGACACTTCTCACCTGCCTGGCAGCTTTCATCTTCACTGCAGCCGTTACCAGAAACCTTTGCATACTTGCCGTGACCTGTTACCACATATTTATATTTCTTGGTGGAGTTTTCCTGAAATTAATGAGAAAACAGTATTAATAATGTGCATTTCATAGACATCTGCACTGTATGTTCAGAGATTCATCCAAAACTTTTCTTATAGCACTATTACTTTACAGACATATT